TGTTGAAGACCGCACTGTGTCCATCCACACTGGGAACTCTCAGTAAGGACTGTGTTGAAGACCGCACTGTGTCCATCCACACTGGGAGCTCTCAGTAAGGACTGTGTTGAAGACCGTACTGTGTCCATCCACACTGGGAACTCTCAGTAAGGGCTGCGTTGAAGACCGCACTGTGTCCATCCACACTGGGAACTCTCAGTAAGGGCTATGTTGAAGACCGCACTGTGTCCATCCACACTGGGAACTCTCAGTAAGGACTGTGTTGAAGACCGCACTGTGTCCATCCACACTGGGAGCTCTCAGTAAGGACTGTGTTGAAGACCGTACTGTGTCCATCCACACTGGGAGCTCTCAGTAAGGACTCTTTTGAAGACCGCACTGTGTCCATCCACACTGGGAGCTATCAGTAAGGACTGTGTTGAAGACCGCACTGTGTCCATCCACACTGTGAGCTCTCAGTAAGGACTGTGTTGAAGACCGCAGGTTCTTTAAGAATACGTGTTTAGAAATCAGTTCTTTAAGATATTACGGTATGAGACGGGACTACACAAAACTAGTTCAATATATAGACAGGCGGGTTAATCGAATCCACTCCAGTACACGTAAGTGCATGTGAACTTGGTCATAAACAAGTGGGCGTGGCTACCGTCTACCTGTATTTAAAAGTGTATTATAACGCAACTTCAAAAAATTTAAAAAATCAGCTACTGCTTTTAGTACGCTTCACGGTCCACCGATATCTTCAGATGCTGCGTTTCTGAACGGTCCACCGATATATTCAGATGTTATGTTTCTGAACGGTCCACCGATATATTCAGATGTTGTGTTTCTGAAGCCAAAAAATCTTAGTTAGTTATAGATAGTTTTTAGTGCGCTCAGGTGGGTTGACGGGTGGGCTAGGTCATGGCTGTTCGAGGAAGACGGGGAGAGATTGATCCCTTGATGGGAAAGTCAGAGTCTGTTTTAGGGGCACAGGAAACTTTCTGTACTCGGGGTAGAGTCCGTTAATTTTGGATATAAATTGACGAGTTGGGCTTATAAGTGAAGACACCATTCACAATGGCGGAACTTCCGCTCTATGGTTGAAGTGAAGATTCCACTCAAGACTCCACTCATACTGGCTGAACTCCCACTCTATGGTTCAAGTGAAGATTCCACTCAAGACTCCACTCATACTGGCTGAACTCCCACTCTATGGTTCAAGTGAAGATTCCACTCAAGACTCCACTCTCACTGGCTGAACTCCCGGTCTATGGTCCAAGTGAAGATTCCACTCAAGACTCCACTCTCACTGGCTGAACTCCCGCTCTATGGTCCAAGTGAAGATTCCACTCAAGACTCCACTCACACTGGTTGAACTCCCGCTCTATGGTTCAAGTGAAGATTCCACTCAAGACTCCACTCACACTGGCTGAACTCCTGCTCTATGGTTCAAGTGAAGATTCCACTCAAGACTCCACTCACACTGGCTGAACTCCCGCTCTATGGTTCAACTAAAGATTCCACTCAAGACTCCACTCACACTGGCTGAACTCCCGCTCTATGGTCCAAGTGAAGATTCCACTCAAGACTCCACTCACTCTCTCTACTCTCGTGCTATAACTCCACTCACTGTCTGAGCTCTCGCTCTATGGTGCAAGGGAAGATTCCACTCAAGACTCCACTCACACTGGCTGAACTCCCGCTCTATGGTTCAAGTGAAGATTCCACTCAAGACTCCACTCACACTGGCTGAACTCCCGCTCTATGGTCCAAGTGAAGATTCAACTCACGACTCCACTCAAACTGGTTGAACTCCCGCTCTATGGTTCAAATGAAGATTCCACTCAAGACTCCACTCACACTGGCTGAACTCCTGCTCTATGGTTCAAAGTTGTGCATGGAAGAAACTAAATAATAGGTTTAAAACTTATGTTTAAATAGAAATAAATGTAGAGATATTTATGTGTTATTTCAGAATTGAAAACATTTGGTTGTCAAAATCTAACAAGATTATTTTTTTTTATTAGGCTGTAATAAATGTTTCCGTTAAAAAGACCCCTTTTCAAAGACGAGTTAAAACGCACACAATTTAGAATATAATTGAACATTTCTTAATTAAAATGCATTATGCAACGAAAATCGTTTCAGAAAGATAGTAAGCCACTCGATTTACACCACTATCATAAGACCAGTAGTAACTTACGCTAGTGAGACTCGGTCCCTTACCAGAAAAGCAGAGAACCTGCTCAATACATGGCCCAGTGATAGACAATGATGTCTGGAGAAAAATCCGCACAAACCAAGAGCTATACCAATTGTACAAAGACCCACCCATAGTCGCAACAGTAAAAAAAAAAGGCAGACTACGCTGGGCAGGACATATTGAAAGGGTGCCGGAGTGTAGAGCAGCAAAAGTGTTAGACAGGCAGAAGCCTATATACATATATATATATATATAGGGGCAGACTGACTCACCGGTCGTCCAAGACGTGAGATGGATCGACGATGTAGAGAAGGACCAGTTGGGGGCTCGCACATAGAGGTCGAAAGCCATGAATCGATCCGAATGGAAAGGTGTGGTGGAGCAGGCCAGGGCCCTAAATGGGCTGTAGCGCGACTGATGATGATGATACGTAAGGCACTCGATGAAGCCAAAGGATTCGAATTAAATGCACACGAAATTTTAAAATGTTTTATTTTTATTATTTTTAAAACTTATTTCTTGCACAGACTTTCTTTGCCTAATGCATTTTAAGAAAATTTAAGTTATCATCTACGATTTAGTGATTTTAAACTTTTAACTTCGTCTTATGAAAACATTTAATTGACATCGCCGCTGTCCATTCATCTAGTAGATTAAATAAAAGCCAACTCTAAAGTGTTATTGGACTAATCGTGGGGGGGGGGGGAGAGTTATCTTGACATATTTTCAGTTATAAATAAAACAACGGGGGGGAGTATCAGAAGTTGCCTTCACCCGTCAGTACTCCTGTCTGTCTGAATGGGGTCATGTGAATAGCGCGCTACCAATAATTTAGAAATACTATAAGCCATGACTATAATAATAATGTTGATGGTAGTGAGTAGGGTCGGTTGCCTCCATCATCTTATTTCAAAAATACATGTTACCATTTAATTCACTCCAAAACGAAGATTTGTGACGAGACGGTCACCGAGTTTAGCACCCCCAGTTTAAAACGTCAGAACCGTCATTTAAAAGTACAACACTTGTCAAGGGACACGGAGAAAAATAAAATAAAAGGCAATGCATTACATTTTAACGAAATCAAAGAGGGCAATCATCACACGGGATTAAGATTATATTTACGACATAAACAAAAATAATTTCATGTGCAGGTAGCCGAGTTTTTTCCTTTTGCAGAAAGATGGCCGCCAGGAAGAGCCAAAGTTATGAAAGCGTCCAAGACATGCGGCCGTGCCAATGAAAACCTTCAACGGGAGGAAAGGCCTCAATTTTTGCACCTCTCCTTAAAGAAGAACAGTAATGTATCTATCAGCGACTCTGGTCAGCTAGTAAAATTATTTTGTTCTTTCTTAATTTCCTTCACCAGATGACCGATAACCGTGGATCATGTCGGTGCCCGGCTCATCTTTCCTGCCCCATGTTCAACCCCCCCCCACCCCGTTCTCATGACACGTGTCCAGTTATATTAAAATCTGCAGGATTTGACCTTAAAATACCGGTTTTCTCAGAAAATAAGACTTACCCGGAAAATTATCCTTAGCAATATATACGCTGTCAGCAGGCTCGAAATATAAGTCCTACCCCAAAACCTAAGCTCCGAATCAGCGATTCCCAACCTTTTACACTCCGCATCCACAAGGGATTATTTGACTTATTTCGCGCCCCCTTTAAAAAGTGAAAATAATGGATTTCTACTTTATCTATTGCATTGCAAAGATGGCTGTGGAACTTAGAAATAAACATTTGACTTTTTACAAGAAATGATTTAAAATATATTAACCATTATATCGTAGTTTAAAACGTACCTCTGCTCTGTTTTTAAATCCCCATTTCTCGAATCCCTTGGTGAAATAAATCCACGGTGTAAAAGCGGGCGGGTCATTAGAATATGTATTTATTTATTTAGTCAATTTTATATAGCGCTTACCTTAAAGCTCTAATATCAATACATGTAAAGTTCAGTGGCGTGAAAAAAATGTGCGGCTGTGAGTATTTGGT